CCCTCCCTCCCTCCCTCCCTTTTCCTTCCTTCCTTTTCCTCCCTCCCCCAGCCTTACCATCTTCCTCTTCCTTTCACTCACGAACAGAGTGCGAAGTCCACCCCCTCCCGGCACGGACTGTCCCTCCCGTCAGACAGCGTCCATCACCCTCCCTTTCCCCGCCTCCCTTGGGGGCAGCCGGGCTGGGGCTCTGGGGTCGAGGCGCCCTCCTTCTCTAACTCCTCCTCCCCCTCCCTCCCTCCCCCCTCCCCCACAGGCTCGAGGGCCCCGGGGCCTCCCGCGTGTCCTGCGCTCTCTCTTCTGCCCCCGGAGGCTCTTCTCCCTCCTGGCCACCCTCTACCTCTTCGGGATCCACTTGCTGATTTTCCTGCACGCCGTGGGACGCCTGTGAGAAGACCAAGGCTCCGGAACTTGGCTGGACCGCCGACCCCGACGCCTGGCGGCAGGGGTGGAGGGGTGACCCTGCTGGTCTGGACACAGGGTGGGTGGGGGGCCTTCCTGCAGCCTGGTTGAGGCCTCCAGGGGTCAAGCTCAATCCTGGTTAGTTAAAGCAGGCGACGGCCTTCCTCGGCGATGCAGGGTTTGTGCCGCTCCGTCCAGGGAAGCGCCAGGGTTTCGCCGGCTGACTTGGCGGTTTCGCATCAGTCCACCGTTGATTTTTTGGGGGGGTGGGGGGGGCAGGAAAGGGCGGAGAGACGACGATGCCCGCCTCCCTTTGGGTGGCGTTAATCATCATTAGCGAAGGTGGGGCTCCTGCAGGAGAAGGCCGGGATCCTGCTCTTTTGAGACGGGGGCGAGTGAAGACGCACATCTAACTCACGCTAAACCTCCGTTCTCTCTCTTTCTGCACATTTGGGGGTGGGGGGTGGACATGTTTTAGCCCCCCACACCCCGGGGGGGCTGGAAATTCTGCCCCTTAAGGCGGGCTTCCCCAACCTTGTCTGGATTCAGGGACCAACCCGGGGGGGGGAGAGAGGGGGGAGGGGAGGGATCCCTGCAAGCGGCCCCCGTGTGCTCGGACCTCCCATTTGTGCGAGTGGCGGGCAAGCATGCGCACCGTTCTTGCTGGCTGCTGACACAAGTGGGGGGGGCCTGCGTGCCCGCCACTTCCGCTGCCCGGTTCCGAGGGGGTCAAGACATGGTAGTGGGGTGTGGGGGAGATTTTGGGGACCCTTGCCCTAAAGGGAGGAAGGGGGGGGTGTAACCCTGTTCTGTCCTGTTCTGGAGAGTCGAGAAAGGAGGATCTGTCTGAGGTCCCTGGACAGCGTCTGACCGTCCAATCTCCGCACCGCCGGTGCTCAGTTAATGGAAGGTTAATGGAAGCCACATCCTCGGCTTGAAGGGGAAAGGGGTCAGGATTATGGGCCAGGGGGTTCCCTTTCTGGCCACTTTGAGAAGAAGAAAGACAGGCCTCTCTTGGTCTAGCCTAGGATCTGCCTCTGGGACCCCGTTGGACACTTAATGGGGGTCCCCACCCCATGGTTCTGGGGGGGGGGGTTCCCTTTATCCCCTCGGCCTGGGTCTCTGCCGCCCCTTTGTTGTGCAATAAAGATGTTTATTTTTCTGAGCGTCTCGCGTATGAGTGGCTTCTTGTCCAAAGGTCATCGGGAAGGCGTTTCCGTCAACTCCCAGGTGGTCATAAATTGGTCGTGACTTGCATATGTCGAGGACTACGACTGGTAAATGGTTTTCTTTTAACAACCCTATCATCCCCTGTGGGGTGGAGTCTAGGCAATTCAACGGAGCTGAGTATTTACTGGCCGGATGCCCTTCCCTGTCACCAGTGCGGAGTTGTATTCAGCAGATAAATTCTCATCTCATATCTGCCTCTCCGTAGGATCGAACTCACAACCTCCTGGTTGTGCGGCGAGAGCTCCACTTCCAAGCCACCGCACCACTCAAGGGCTATGACTATATATCATCTCCTTTGAACGACCCCATAATCCCTTGCGGGTGGAGACTGGGCAGTTGAACGGAGTTAGCAGAGTGTTTTAATGGCCAGATGCCTTTCCTATCGCCAGCGTGAAGTTTTGTTCAGTAGATATATTCTCATTGTGCCCAGAGAAAGAAATTTCTGCATCTACCTAGAATCGAACCCACAGCCTCCTGACAGTGAAGCGGAGAGCTCTACCTCTAGGCCACCGCGCCACTTGAGGACTGCAACTCCTAAATGCTGGCTGGGAATTGTGGGAGTTGAAGTCCACCGGCCTTCCAAGTTGTTGGGTTTGAGAAACGCCGCCAGTGCAAATCCCCGGATCTCTAGACGTAGCTTAGCCCCTTGGGCCTCAGAAGGTTCCCACCTCCCTCGGGACATTTGTAAACGGAGCAGAATTAATTAATGAGGTCGCTTTGAAGTCCTGCCCTACGCAATTATCGGGACCTTAATGAGGTCCCTCTTGAATCCCTGCAAAAACCCAACGTGGGATTGTTAATTAATTGGTAAGGCGTCGGCAAAAGCATTGAAAAAAAAACAACCACAACCTGACAAATATCTAAAGCAGGGATGTTCACGCTTGGCCGCTTTAAGGCCTGCGGACTCCAACTCCCACAATTCCCAGCCAGCATTTATTAGTTGTAGTCCTCGAGTGGTGCGGTGGCCTAGAGGAAGAGCTCTCGCCTCACAATCGGGAGGCCGTGGGTTCGATTCAAGGTAGAGGCAGACATTTCTCTGGACATGCTGAGAATATATCTGCTGAACAAACCTCCTCATCGTTGACAGGAAAGGCATCCGGCCAAGAAACACTCAGTTCCATTCACTTGCCCTGAATGTCCATAGGTCTTAAAGCGGCCAAACATGGACACCTCTGATCTAAAGGTAAGTCTTTTTTTAAAAGGATTTTGGGTGACTTGAAGCAATTTTGGGAACAAGCTGGCTTTGCTTGGGCGGGGGGGGGGGGCAACTTTCTCACCTGCGGAACAGGTAGCACCTGCAGGCAAGCCCTACACAGGTAAGCGCTTTGGCTGCGAAGAAGCGCGTCGAAAGCTGAAGATGCTTTGGCCTTCCTTGACGTGCGTCCTAATTTTTCCCTCTCCATCGTGCCTCGTTGAACCGTTGCCTCTCTGGTTTGCTTCTGAACATGCGCAGAGTTATTATTCCTATTTATTTATTTATTTATTTTAGAACAGAGGTCTCCCAAACTTGACAGCTTTAAGACTTTGTGGACTTCAACTCCCAGCATTCCTCCTCCTCCGGTCATGTTAGCTCGGGAATTCTGGGAGTTGGAAGTCCACAAAGTCTTAAACTTCAAACCAAGTTTGAAGACCCCCTGTTTTTTTTTTTCGGAGCTTGCTATCGTGCCACCTCTTTGGGAATTTCCACCGCTCCCCACATCTCGAGTGGGCTCAGATGTAGACCCAGGTTGGGTAGGGGAGAACTGAGTATCCCTCCCTCCCCTCCCCTCCTCCTCCCCTCCCCCACAGGCCCTTGGTCGCCTTCTGAGGCCCAAGAAGTAAAAAAAAAAACCTCTTCCTGATTTGGTGAACTTCAAACAGGAACTTGGGTTTGCAAGTGAAACCAGGGTGAGAGGAGAGGAAGCCGAGCCGAGGCGCTGCCAGAAGCGGAACCGACGCTCCGGGCAAGGTATGGAGGCTTGAAGGCGCAGAGCAGTGGTGCTTCTGGGGGTTCGTGGCTGAGCTATGGGTGGTGGTGGGGACACACACCAAGTCAACCTCGCTTGCTCCAAGATGCCCCGTGGTCTTGTCCCATCTCCGGAGCGGCTGGGAAGACGGGCAAGGTTGCTTCGACCCAGCAAGAGGACGCAGCAATTTGAGCCCTCTTGGGCGGTTGGGAAGAGGCAGCCGCGGGGAGCGGATTAACAAGAGTTGGGAGGGACCTTGTAGGTCATCTAGACCAACCCCACCCACCCCCCTCCGCCCAAGCGGGAGATCCTAACCCATTTCTGACCCAAGAGGCCAGTCCAGGCTCTCCTCGGAAGCTTCCAGCGGTGAACTTCTGAGGGCCACTTCTGCTCCGTGGGTGGATTGAGGGCCGGGGGCCAAAGGGGTTGAAAAGCCCCCCCTCACCCCCCCCTCCCTTGGCTCTTGGGCTTCTCTTCTGCAGAGCTTCCCATCTCCAGCGGCTGCCTAGCTGCCCCCTGGTACCCATCGGTGGTCTTCTGGGCTTCCACGGGGCAGCATCCGGAGCAAAGTGGAAGGGGGGGGAAAGGGACCTGTTTGAGATGGGGTGGGGAAGGGGCTCCTGCAAGGGGTGAGGGAGGGGCAGGAAGGGACGTCTGGCGGAAGTTTGGGCCTCTGAATTCGGCACCGGCGTTCTCTGACTTGCCCTTTTTTTGGTAAACGCTTTCCATGAAGATTTTTAAAAGCTGCAGCAAAGTCCTGGCAGATCTGTGATCCTGGTGCTTTGGAGAATAGCTTGACCCCCCTTTTTTCTTCGGGGCAGCCTTCTGGAGGCGAGTCGTCCCACTTGTGAACTGTTTGTACCGCAAAGAAGTTTCTGCTTAATTCTAGTTTGGATCTCTCCTTGCTTTGGGGCAAGTCAACCTACCGTTACTGGCCACCTTTTATTCAAAGCCAGCCTTCTTCACGGTTCTTGAGAAAGCTGGAGGGTGGAACGTGGACAGGGTCAAGCTGGTCCCTTTTAGATCAACAAGAGTTGGAAGGGACCTTGTAGGTCATCTGGTCCAACCCCACCCACCACCCTCTGCCCAAGCAGGAGACCCTGCCACCTTCATGTGCAAAGCAACTGCTACACCATTTGAGTAGTTGTGTAAACTATTTTGGGCTTAGAAAGTTTTACTGTAGTTCTAGGTCTCATTCCAGGGGTTTATGCCCCCAGCTGGTTTTCTTTTGGAGCTGAAAAGCACACACACACACACACACACTAACCCCTCCTTGGAGACGAGGGGCTTTGGATACTGGCTTCCACTGCTGGTGGTGTTGTGACCACAGGAAAAAGGAAAAAAAAAGCTGAATTGGTGCGTGAACCCACAAGAGATCTCAGCCAAAGACTGGTATATCCCTCATTTGCTGCACAATGCTTGCAACCGAACGATCGCTTCCTTTCGACTTACATCCGGCTGACTGTAGGATGGGTTAGCCGAGTTTCCATCTCTGGCCTGCACCGCAGTCCAGAGCGAACAGCCATTTAAGGAAGCGGTTTCAAGCGATTTCATTGTAAACATGACACCAATAATGATAACCAATAAGGAACCAGAAACTGTCCATAAAGGAATTGCCCTTGATTTAGGTTTTTTCTTCTTCTATGTTGTGTACATGTTTGTTCATTTATTTTAATTGTACAGTCAATAAAGTTTGCTTTTAATTTTTTTTTTTTTAAAGGAAGCGGTTCAAGACCCCCCACAAAAAAGAGTCCCACATTGGCGCAGCCTGTTAGGGATACACCCTAGCAGAGTCTGCACGGCAGGCAGGCAAAATATGTGAGATAAACGTTTTTGTAGCTTACACTCAGTAAAACAGATACACTGTGCTAGTTAAATAGTTTATTCCAGTAAGAGTTTTTAGCATAGTCAAAAACAGTCCATATATCATTCACTAGTTCAGTCCGTCCGGGGATTATTCAGTTGCAAAGTCCAGTGTCGAAAAAGAGGTCAGTAAACTTACAAATATCAGTCCAGTAATATATCTCCTCGAAGTAGAGATATGAAGAAGTCAAACCTCCTTTCTTCCTTCGACGTTCAGTAACTCAGCAGTAGGGAACACGCAGTTAGCAAACCATCAATCCATCAAACCAGCAATCTTCAGCAATCCAGCAGGTCTCTTGCTCCCTCTTATGGCAGTTTCACACCGCACCCAAAATTACATGCTTTGCAGTTTAAAGTAACACACACTTAAACTTACAATCATAGTTTATATATATTATTTTACCCAAACTACGTTAGGTAACCTATGTTATTCCTAACACAGCCCATAAAATTTCATTTTATTATTCATCGTGCAGTCAGTCAGATGTTCAGGCTGGGTGTGGCATTTTTGTGTACCTATTGAGTCCCCACCAAGGACCAAATCTGGACATTTGATGGTGTTACAGATATTCTTGCAGGATGGAAGCTGTCCCAAGTAAAGCTGCCTTCTGCAATTGACCGATGACAAATTTGTCCATGCCACTGACGGTATTCGAGTGGTGCTCCAGTTGTTTTGGGACTGCGCCCAAGGCACCCATTACTATTGGTACTACCCTTCCTTGCCTTTGCCATAGTCGTTCTACTTCTATTTGTAGGTCTTTCTATTTTGTTATCTTCTCCAGTTCTTTCTCTTCTCTTCTGCTCTCTCCAGCCACAGTCACATCCACTATTCTGACCTTTTTTGCCTTTGTTGTCGACAACTGTTATGTCCAGTGTGTTATGTGGCAGGTGCCACTCTGTCTGGATTCTGAAGTCCCAGAGCAATTTAACTTTTTTTTAATTTTCTATGACTTTTTTCTATTTTGTGGTCCCACCAGTTCTTGCCAATAATATTTCCTGCAGATCTTCAAGGTCAACATGTTTCTGTCTGAGTTTGCTCCATGTTGGAGAAATCTACAACTGGTATTGTAAAATTGACTTCATGTGTTTAAAAAGAAGTTAAACGAAGTCTCAGCCATCGGTGTTTATTTTTCTGGCACTGAACTTACGCTATGATACTCTGAACAATGATTTCTTCCAACAACCAGTTCACCAAACCACTGAGAAAGTTAACAACCAGTTCTCCCGAAGTGGTGCGAACTGGCTGACTCCCACCATTGGGTATGGGGTCTCCTGCTTGAGAAGGAAGCTGGACTGGAGGACCTCCAAGGTCCCTTCCAGCTCTATCCTGATTCAAGTTCTTATCAGCTCCATGAAGGTCCATGACGTTATGACTGCAAAGATATGACCACGGAAATGTCTTCGGACAGTGGTAGCTCGGTGGCCGGAGATGAGCAGCGCCCCTTATGGTTGGCAACAACTAGCAGAGTTAAATCCCCAGGGACTCCTTTAAAAAAAAAGTAGCTCCTGTCAGATGGCATAATTTAGGGGAAGGGACCAGGACCGGGCCCACCCTGCCTGACCAGGTAGGAGGGATAGATGTCCTTAAAGAGACACGGTCAAACTGATAACCTGGCCCTCTGCTTTTAAAGGCGAAGGCCATAAATTGCACCCAGGAAGAAACTGGAAGCCAAGGCAATTCACACCACAAAGGGGTTACGTGTGGGCCCCTATTACTATTCCGGCAGTTAAGGGAAGAACAACAGAACGACAGAGTTGGGAAGGGACTTTAGAGGTCTTCTAGTCCAACCCCTTGCTCAAGCAGGAAACCCTGACAGAATTAGAGAATAACTGAGATGGAAGGGACCTCAGAGATCTTCTAGTCCAACCCCCTTTTCAAGCAGGAAACCCTGGCCATTCAAGACCAATTGTTGTCCAGTCTGTTCTTAAAAAGTGGAGCAATGGAGCAACATCCGTGGTGCAGAAAAAGAACAACGTGGCTCCCCACGACAGGACAAGACAGTCTGGCAATGGCTGTGGAACCTTTATTTGTTTATTTGATTGATTGATTGATTGATGGGCCAACCATCTCGTTTAGCAACAGGTCTGTTGCTGAGGTCCACGTCCTAATGCAGTACAGCAAGGGTGCAGGTAGTCCTCATTTTGTGACCGTCATGGAATCTCTGACAATGGCAAAGCGGGTGACCACACGACTGGGCGCGATTTTTTTTTCTTTTTTAGTGGCGGTCCTTAAAGCAAACATTGAGGTCATTAAGCAAATCCACCATTTGCCCTGGGCATTCTTTTTTTTGTTTTTGGCCAGGCGCTGGAAATAAATGCCCGTTTCTGGCAAACACATTGCTAACCCATCATTTTCACGGAAGGACGCTGCAAAGAGTCAGCTGTAAATGTGGTTGGTTGGATTCTCTCTCCTCCCAGATGTGGAAAGCCGTAGTGGGCCACAACGTGTCCGCAAAGGTGGAGACCCAAGAAGACGATTGGGACACTGACCCGGATTTTGTGGTAAGTCTTCTTTGCTCCTCGGTTGCTTGTGGTTCAGGAGCTCCAGACCCATGGGGCTGTTCCTGGCTCCCACAGGGGTGGGTACGGCTGCCTCTCAGGAGGCAGAAAGGACGGTCTTAGGGGTGAAATTCAAAGAAGCCAAGCGGTGGTGGGATTCAAGAACTTTTACCAATGGTTCAGTGGGCGTGGCTTGGCGGGTGCGCTTCGTGTGCATGCGTGCGCCAAACGTGCACATGCGCATTCCACCTCACCTCCTGCAAGCCTGCTCTCTCCCGGTCGCTTCAGCAGCTGCCACGCGGCACTTTCCTGTGCCGCGAAAAGCGAATGCGCTTCAAAAGCGGAGGATAACGGTGAGTATGGAACTGTGGTGGGATTCAATTTTTTTTTTTACGGCCGGTTCTCTGGGTGTGTCTTGGTGGGCGTGGCAGGGGAAGGATACTGTAACATCTCCGGTCGGGGCTGGTATTTGCTGGTTCTCCGAACTACTCTAAATTTCCGCTACCGGTTCTCCAGAACCGGTCAGAACCTGGTGTATATCACCTCTGCTATGGGAGCCCAGGCGGGCAGGTGGGCCCAACAGCGGAGAATTGGAGAGAACTGGTTCGATTTCTTCTGCTCATCGTCACTACTGGCTCGGCAGAACCGGGCCGAACCAGTAGCATACCACCACAGAAGCCAAGATGTTAATCATGACTGTGAGTGAATGAATGAATGAAATAATTCATTGATCAATTAATTTGTCAGGATTCCAGAGATCGCCCTAATTAAATAATGAGCCTCAAGCCAAACTTTCAAAAACCCTCAAAGGATTTATTAGGAGCGACATGCTGGCATGACCTGTACAAAGCCGACTCTTTGATACATAATTTACAATCACCGGTAACCTTGTTTCTCCCACCCCTCTGGGTGTATCATAATTCAGATTGTCCAACGAAACACGAGCATAGCCAAGAGTCATCCATCATGTTCTCCAACAGGCATAGGAATGTTTTGCAAGTTGACAGAATTCTTTTATTGTCCAAGTGTGATTGGACACACAAGGGATTTGTCTTGGTGCGTGTGCTCTCAGTGTACATAAAAGAAAAGATACGTTCGTCGAGAATCATAAGGTACAATATTTAATAGGGAAAACTCTTAGGTCAGCGGTAGAGACAAGGGATCTGAAAAAAAACAATTATTGGAACATTTTTCTTTAACATAAATGAGTGCTTAATAAACAGTGTATTGTCTGGGTCAATTTACTTAGACAGAATATCCATAATAATAACAATATTTACTTGCATATACTGGTATTCCTCCAACTTCTAGTTTCTACCTTTATTGTCTAACCATTTGTAAAACAAATCCCATGGTTAAAAAATATTCCGTATCTTCTTTATCTTTAACATTAGCCGATCCATTTCCGCAGTCTAATAATTTTTTAAAAAAAATTACGTTTTCATCTGTAGGAATATCCTCATTTTTCCCAATACTGTGCAAATACAATTCCTGCCGCTGTCAACACAAATAATATTAAATATACCACCCCTTTGTTCCTATTTTTGTTCTGGTAATATACCTAAGAGAAATATTTCTGGCTTTAGATCTATATCCGAAGGTCTCCAAATTTGGCAACTTTAAGACTTGTGGACTTCAACTCCCCAGAATTCCTCAGCTAGCATAGCCTAGCTGGCTGAGGAATTCGGGGAGTTGAAGTCCACAAGTCTTAAAGTTTGGGGACCCCTGATCTATAGGTAGGAAAAGCCCATTTGAAAAGACTTCTGGAAGGTTGGTGGAGTTGAAGATAACCTCACCTTGGGGAGACAGATGGGCACTGGGAGACCCTCTCCTGAATCCCACCAGGTGTAAGACAGGGGTGGGGTACAAAAATCCCAGCAACCGGTTCTCTACCTGGTTGCTGGATGGGCGTGGCCATGTTGTGGGTAGCCTACCGGAACTTCCAGGAGGATGATTTTCCACTTTTCCCCAGAGTCCAGAGGCTTCCCTCAGGCCTCTGGGAGGGTGAAAACGGCCTCTCCCAGGCTCTGGAGGCCCTCTGGAAGCCAGAAACAGGCCTGTTTTTGGACTTTTGGTACTTCCATAAGGCCCATTTTCCCTCTTCCCAGAACCTCCTGCACTTACCTGCATCCAAAATGGGTCGCGTGGGAGGGGACAGGTGGGTGGGGCCAGCTGGTTGGTTCAAATACGGGTTGGCTGAACCAGGTGTAAATTTAACAACTGGTTTGCCTGAACCGGTCCAAACCAGTAGAATTCCACCCCTGGTGTAAGTTCTTATCTCCTCTCATCGACAGAATGACATTTCGGAGAAGGAGCAGCGCTGGGGGGCTAAGACAATCGAAGGCTCTGGCCGTGCAGAACATATCAAGTGAGTGGCTTCTTCATCCCGTCTTCCCTTTCGTCTAGATTCCAGACCTCAACTTCTGCTGGGCCAAAAGTAGGCTGTGACCCTCCCCGAAACCCTTGGCCTCAGTCCTCCAGTTACAACCATAATGGAGCCCAGAGCCATGTTGAAAGGAGGGCCTTTGTGTCTCACACACATTGGAAGAAGTACGGGAGCTAGACTGAGGTTCTAGTTGGACTTCTTCTCTTGGTGGTTACCATAGCAGGGCCTGCTTCTCTCAGGAAAAGGAAACAGTGTCCTCACCCAGATGTTGGCCAAGACTTTTGGCGGCCCACTACAGTGGAAGACGGAGCTACTAGTGGGAGCTGAGGCTGAGGAGACTAAAAGCAGTGTTTCTCAATCGTGGTAGCGTGAAGATGGGTGGACTTCAACCCCCAGAATTCCCCAGCCAGCTGAGGAATTCTGGGAGTTGAAGTCCACGCAACGCTGGCTGAGGAATTCTGGGAGTTGAAGTTGACCCATCTTCAAGTTACCAAGACTGAGAAACGCGAAGAGGACTAGCGGCTTTGTTGACTTTGAGCATTGGAGGTCATGTGAACAAGTGGAAAGTGTTATTTTGGGGGCACCGTTTCCCGCTCCGGTCTCTAAATTTGGGGGACCAGAAACCATTAGAAGGAGAAAGATGAACTTCAGAAGGGCTTGTTCTCCATTCTGCTCCACACATCTGTAGTCTCACAGCTCAGATCCTTGCATAAGACTTTATCCTACCCTGCCCTGTCCAGAGTCATTGGATAACACCACCCATCTTCCCCAAACAGCATGGAATTTGCAATCCATTTGGGATTGCATTAGGTTGGAGAACCTTGTGGGATTCCTCCAGAGAGACCAGGTGGTGCTTCAACTTGACCGTGAAGTTCTTCGGTGTGAATGGAATCCTGTGACCCAAAATTTATGTCGCTTCCTTGTTCTGTCCTCCAAAAACTGAGGAAGTGATGTCCTTCCTCTTTTTCAGACAACTTTTGTGTCTCTTATTTATGTTATCTATTTGGAAAAAGGCAGAAGTGCTGCTTTTCTTCCGCTTGGAGGAAATCATCGTCCGCGCATTTGGTGGCATTTTTCTTCTTTCAATGCCTCCGCTGAGATTTCTCCTGATGTATTTGATTGATTGATTGATTAAATTTATACACTGCCCATCTCGCCATCAAGAGGAGATTCCAGGTGGCTTACGACTGTGTAAAAATGACAATATAAAACATGGTTAAATATTAAAATTAATCAAAGTTAGCTAAGATACAAACCACTGGGGCCCTTGGTGCTCTCTGAGCTTGGTTGTTTTCTTGAGGCTGTTCCATGACTCAAAGTGGGTAACATCATCAGTGTGGGTGGCAAACGCCACACTCCTTCACACTGAGGATGTTACTTAGTTGGGTCATGAAATGTCTGCAAGAAAACAATCAAGTTCAAAGAGCATCAAGAAACCCATAATTTTTATTTTCCTCCTCCAACCTCCCCTGGACTGATGATGTTACTTAGTTGCATCATGAACCATTTGTGAGGCCCAAGGACACTAGGGTTCTCCTCCTCCTCCTCCTCCTCCTCCTCCTCC